CTCGCTCTCAGCTCCACCTTCGGACGAGTCCGTAGAGCCGAGTGGTCCGTACCCAGAGCTTGTGGGTTGCCTCATGTACCTGATGACGTGCACACGACCTGACCTCGCGTACCCTCTCAGCCTCCTGGCTCGCTACGTGGCTCCCGGTAGACACCGAAAGGTGCACTGAGAAGCTGCAAAGAGGGTATTGCGTTACTTGTGCAGTACATCGGGCATGGGGCTCGTGCTTGGAGGACGGGGTTCAGTTGTTCTCACCGGTCACTCAGACGCTTCTTGGGCTGACGACCAGACGACTCACCTGTCGACACAGGGCTACAGTTTCAGCCTCGGCACTGGTTCTGTCTCGTGGAGGTCCACTCGCTCTTCTTCTGTACTTGGTTCCAGCTGTGAGGCCGAGATCTACACCGGGGCTATGGCTGCACAGGAGCTCCGCTGGCTGACCTACCTGCTGACCGACTTGGGTGAGCGGCCTCGTTCTCCTCCAGTTCTGTACGTCGACAACAAGGCCATGATTGCCTTGTGTCAGGACAAGAGACTGGAGCACAGAACGAAGCACATTGCTCTCCGTTACTTCCTCACGCGAGAGCTGCAGCAGCGTGGTCAGCTTTGTCTTGCTTACGTGGCCACACAGGCCAACACTGCTGATGTCTTCACCAAGGCCCTTGGGTCTAATGATCATCAGCGTTTCTGCACTGCTCTTGGGCTTGTGCCCACCCTGCCTCACCTGCTTGTTTCTTGATCTTGTCTTGTACTTTGATATATAAACCTGCATGTTTCTGGTTGCGAGGTTGTAATAATTGTACTGCTTGTGTTATTATCAAACTGCATGTGAACTGGACTTGTGGCTGCTTGCTTGTGCTCGGAGTGTGTGGTGTCCTTGAGATCCACCCTTAGCTTTGTTCTTTGTTTGTTCTCTTGACTGGTCTTGTGACTCTTGTTATGCTTGCTATCTCCCACTTCGCCTATGGGGGTGTGTCAAACAATATTGTGATGTTAGGCTGTAGTAGGATCGATATTTTACATGCTACAATAATACTGTAGCATCGTAGTTCACATGGATACCCTAATTCGACACAGTTAACGAGTGTACAGTAACGGATGCACCACGATCCTGTCAGCTTCCCCCAATCGCGATTGTTGCATCATCATACACACACCGATTTTGCGTGAGCTCCAAGCTCGCGCGCAAAGTGACAGCCAAGACCGATCGCCGTCGCCCAGTTTGCAGGGTTACCTGGATCATCTCATGTTTTTATCGCAAATCATCCATACGACGGTGCGGCATATTTTCGCCCAAGCCTGTTCCCTAACGCAATACCGAACCTGTCACCCAGGGCACGAAACCAACTACGATCAGTGTTCTGCAGTGACCTCACCCCAAACGTGCCCCAACCCTGCGATCGGTGCGCCCGATCGGTTTTTCCTGGCGATCCTGCGATCGATCGACGGAGAGACGCCTCCTTAGGGCGCGTGTCTTTTGGTGTAGACGTTCGGAAAAAAGGTCGAACTTTTGCTGGTAACCCGTTTCGTTCATCTCGCCAAAACATTCGCGAGGCAATCGTGTGTCCTTGTTCAAACTGTGTGAAAGAAGGTGGACACTGAACTAATGTCGACCTGCGTTCGGATTTTTACGTTTACATTTATCCAAACGTGTGTTCTTCTACGCACGCACGAAAATCTACGAGGTTCGCGACATTAACTAGGTAAGTCGTACCGGGTTACCGAAGCTGGATACGGTAACGAACTGCACAGCTCAACCGCGTAACCAACGAGAGTTTAGCGCGACTCGGGACTTACTGTTTAAAGTTGAACTATGATGGTCGAATTGTGTTGTTCCATGCGCGATTCGGACTTGTTGATGGTGCTCCTCGATCACCCGAAGTAGAGATAGTCGACCTCAGGTCGACCAAAGTTCAAATGTGAAAATTCGAGAAAAAAACATGAACCAGACCCAAATTTGCAAAAGACACGCACCCTTAGATTTTCTGCACCTGACGGAAAGCTCCTGCCCTACCGGTATCTACCCTGATGATAAATCCCCGAAGTCTAGCACTGATGCAGAATGTCAGATGAGTCCCCCTACACTGTTGTTTGCCGTGCCATTACTACGAGCAACAAGTTGACGTTGGCATGGCAGTCGAATGAACCTTTCAGTACAGTCCCTAATACTGTAGTATATAACGGCAAGGCAACTACCACTTCTGTCCATGCACCTGTGACCTCTCACGAATTTTCCTCTCGCGCCCGTACTGGTCCTCTCCGACCAAGTCCTGCCTTCCCTTCCCTTCCATGGCGCCGAGGCAACTGGCTCAGGGGATGAAATACCGTACATCACTTGCAACACGAGCATCGGATCCTCATTTCTGAATCGCCTCCCTTCCTTTTCTTCGCTAATCCATTACCAGCATGAACCGCGCGACGTCACTCCAGCTCATCCTGTTCTGTAAGCACTTGCCACGCCATCGCTAGTTTGTAGATGCTTCCGCGTATGCGTGGCTGCTGTTTACCACCCGCACAAGCAGCTATAGTGGCTGGACTTTGGTTCTGACTCGGGTCACTTCAACCATCCCCCCTCACGGTCGCGCGTGCCCTGCCTGTCCGTCAGGTGCGGTGCTACTCACTGCCGTCGCGTCAGCATCGCTCCTCCCGCCTCTACTCCCACCCGACGGAAACTTTTATGCCGCGTCTGCCTCTCAGGCCAGGCCCCTGAGGTGGAAGGGGAGTAGAATGAGTGAGTGCCTGCAGCGCGCTCAGCGCTTTGCCAGCAAATGCGGAGTATGCAAACGTTCTTCTACAACTTGTAGAAAAATGTTCAGGCCTCATACTGTGTTTGAATGCTATGTTGGGCACTCAAGAACCAGTCAGCATTTTGTCGCCTGCCATGCTACCACCCGCGTGCTGCTCTTCTCTAGCTGTCGTAGAGCCATGTCTCCTCAGTATTAACCTTCCCCTTCCTCCCGTGCGCCCCGACCCCTGCCAATCCTATCGCCAGGTAAGTACGTCGCCAAGCTGCGTCCCACTAAGATCAATGGAGGATTAGTCGGCGACAAAGGCGCATCGGGGAAATATGTCGTTGAGGCAGTGAGGTACGTCTCCTTATGATCATATTTCCCGACTGGTTGTATTGTCAATAGCAATGCATCAACAGAAGAACCTAGATCTGTGGCCCCATACTCCCTCCTCCTCCCCCCCCCCAAAACGGCTGTCTGCCCCCCTTTTGTAATAATCGCTCTCTCCAATATGTTGTGTTGGCAGGTACTCAGGAGTCAACAGCTACATGTACCTTACCCTTGATGTTGTGAACATAAAATCCGGAGGAAAAGCACCCGCCGTAACTATCTCAGGTTCCTGTGCTGTCAATGCGCTAGGCGATACAACACTTGAATTCCTGAACATTACAAACAGGAGGAGTGGTCGCCGCAAGCGGTACAGCTTCACTTACTCATTGACTGAAGGGCCCAAATCTACAAAGGAAATACGCACCATGGTTGCTGATAAGGTGTCGCCAGCCAGGTTTGTGACGATTGGGCATGACACCAACTTTATGGCACTGTGCGGAAAGTTCAAAAAAGTGTGATAGTGGATTCTTTACCGGGGTGCAAGTCCTCTCTTAAAGCGACGGTGCACATTTGCCACCCAAAACCCAGAACCCTGGCGAACTGTTACTGCGGATGGAAAGTGTCCGCAAAATCCTGGTTTTCGCCAGCCAGCACTTTCGCGCTGGCAAGCCTGGTTCAAAAAAAAAACTTCTGAACCCAACACTGCCAAAAGTTGCCCGTCGCTTTAATAGCTCATAGCTAAATGGAATTGTGAGAACTTATGTGAGCTCTGTATAATACAGTTATCTCCTGGATGTACCTACCGTCATCGCTCGAAAATAAGACGTAAATGTCTTATCTTATACACTAGGAAAAAATGCTGGGGTTGTCTTGTAGTGTGGTTTGGGAGTCTTACAATTCTTATAAACGGACAAAGAAACGTTATGAGATTACCCCTCAACCCTACTCCGCCTTAACTCGTGACACCTACAGGTGTCTTATAATCAGGAACACCCATTTTTAAGAGACCCGTTTTAAAGACACCCCGTCTTCTATTCAACAGTCTTATATCCGGGCGATGACGGTAGGACTGGTGAATGAGAAGATTGTTACATGTACAGTTATTATCTATACTGTGAGTCCCTTCCACTTCGCAATTTCCGCAAAAGCCAATCAATGCTATCCTCCCCATTACCGGTCCCACTATCTGTCTCTGTCACGATCTCTATCTCTCCCTAATGTCCCTGTCCCTCTCTCTCTCCCTCCCCCTCTCTCTCTGTCTGCCCGCCTCCCTGTTCCTGTCCAGATCCCTATCCCTGCCCCAATCCCTATCTCTGTCCCTCTCCCTCTCCCTGTCCCTATCCCTGTCCCTATCCCTGTCCCTATCCCGTTCCCTCTCCCTATCCCTATCCCTCTCCCGAACTTCTCTTTCCCTTTCCCGATCTCTATTCCGATCAATGTCACGGTCCCTATCCCTGTCTCTCTCCCTTTCCCTCTCCCTCTCCCTGTCCCTATCTCTCTCCAAATACCGACCTCCAGCCTTTTCGTCCCTGGGTCGTTTCCGCTCACGTTCAGCACTTGTCTCCCTGCTTCCACTGCACGCAGTGGCGGCAGCAGCGGCGGCAGCAGCAACAACATGAGGCAACAGCAGCAACATCCACATGAGGCAAGGTGAAGAGGAAAGAGAGGCAGGATAGAGAGGACATGCAGATGGGCAGATTAATGTATATTGTACACGCGGGAGTATGAACGGGCATGAGAGCATCTGTGTGAGCAGCGACGTGAGTCAGCATGTGAGAGAGCGCTTGCAAGTGTGGGCCTTATGAAATCATTTATTTTACAGGAACACAGACGGAGCAGTGTCTTACGCACATGGGATGGCCACAAGGGGAAGGAACAAGGGAAAGGCACAGACAGACGGACAGAAAGACAGGCAGACATGGGCACAAGGAAAATAGAAGCTCACCTTCTCTGATCGTCACGACCCTTGCCCCTTGCGCCTTGCTCCCCGTTCACCTGGAGGGGATTGAAGCACAGGGAAACACATGATCATGAAGGTTAGAGTCTGCTGCATGGGCACGGAAAGACTCTTAAGGCACGTCAGAAGTGCTCCCCGTTCACCTGGAGGAAATGCATCAGAAGGCAAGACACGATAGTGAAGGTCATAGTCTGCTGCATGGCCACGGAAAGAGAATTGCGACGAGTGTGGTGAAGGAGACAGTGAAAGTACTTGGGGTAAAAGGGAGAGGGGATGGGGAAGGAAGGAGGGGAGGCAAGGGGGGAGAGAGGGAGGGAGGGAAGGGTGGGAGGGAGGGCGGGAGGGAGGGCGGGATCAGGGAGGGAGGGAGGGAGGGAGGGAGGGAGGGAGGGAGGGAGGGAGGGAGGGAGGGAGGGAGGGAGGGAGGGAGGGAGGGAGGGAGGGAGGGAGGGAGGGAGGGAGGGACGGACGGACGGACGGACGGACGGAGGGAGGGACGGAGGGAGGGACGGAGGGAGGGACGGAGGGAGGGAGGGAGGGAGGGAGGGAGGGAGGGAGCGAGGGAGCGAGGGAGCGAGGGAGGGAGGGAGGGAGGGAGGGAGGGAGGGAGGGAGGGAGGGAGGGAGGGAGGGAGGGAGGGAGGGAGGGAGGGAGGGAGGGAGGGAGCGAGGGAGGGAGGGAGGGAGGGAGCGAGGGAGCGAGGGAGCGAGGGAGCGAGGGAGCGAGGGAGCGAGGGAGCGAGGGAGCGAGGGAGCGAGGGAGCGAGGGAGCGAGGGAGCGAGGGAGCGAGGGAGCGAGGGAGCGAGGGAGCGAGGGAGCGAGGGAGCGAGGGAGCGAGGGAGCGAGGGAGCGAGGGAGCGAGGGAGGGAGGGAGGGAGGGAGGGAGGGAGGGAGGGAGGGAGGGAGGGAGGGAGGGAGGGAGGGAGGGAGGGAGGGAGGGAGGGAGGGAGGGAGGGAGGGAGGGAGGGAAGGAGGAAGAGAAAGAGGGACGGAAAGAGGGACGGAAAGAGGGAAAGAGGAAGGCGCACAGAACAAATGCCATATCCCACCGTTGAACCTCGACTGCCAGTCACACTGCATACCTCGGCCCGCCCTTGGCTGCCCTCCTTGCCCTCCTCCTGCCGCTCCTCCCTACCCTCGACTGCATCATTCAACCCCATCTGCGTCCGCCTCTTCTCCCTCTCCTCCTCCCTCTTCTTCCTCAGCATCTCTGCTGTCTCGCGGATCCTAGCATAGCCCTGCGAAAGGAGAGAGGAGAGGGGATACAAGGGAGAGGGCGAGAGAAACACGGAGACATGCGAGGAGTGGAGAGAGGAGAGGAGGAGAGGAGAGGAGAGGAGAGGAGAGGAGAGGAGAGGAGAGGAGAGGAGAGGAGAGGAGAGGAGAGGAGAGGAGAGGCGAGGAGAGGAGAGGAGAGGAGAGGAGAGGAGAGGAGAGGAGAGGAGAGGGGAGGAGGGGAGATGAGAGGAGAGGAGAGGGGAGGAGATGAGAGGAGAGGAGATGAGATGAGGAGTGGAGTGGAGAGGAGAGGAGAGGAGAGGAGAGGAGAGGAGAGGAGAGGAGAGGAGAGGAGAGGCGAGGAGAGGAGAGGAGAGGAGAGGAGAGGAGAGGAGAGGAGAGGAGAGGAGAGGAGAGGCGAGGAGAGGAGAGGAGAGGAGAGGAGAGGAGAGGAGAGGGGAGGAGGGGAGAGGCGAGGAGAGGAGAGGAGAGGAGAGGAGAGGCGAGGAGAGGAGAGGAGAGGAGAGGAGAGGAGAGGAGAGGAGAGGGGAGGAGGGGAGAGGAGAGGAGAGGAGAGGGGAGGAGATGAGAGGAGAGGAGATGAGATGAGGAGTGGAGTGGAGAGGAGAGGAGAGGAGAGGAGAGGAGAGGAGAGGAGAGGAGATGAGGAGTGGAGAGGAGAGGAGAGGAGAGGAGAGGAGAGGAGAGGAGAGGAGAGAAGAGGTCAGAAACGTCAAGCCAAGGAGAGGGAGGAGAGCAGAGGGTAGAGAAGTCGCCTCCCTTCACTTTTTCTTCGTTTTCTTTCCTCTAAATCATCAACAATCCCACAAGCAGCAAAGACAGCAATGACAGCAGCAGCAGCAGCGGCAGCAACAGCAGCGACAGCGGCAGCAGCAGGAGGAGGAAGGGGATCAGCACACACCCACACACCGATGACGTACGAGGTGTTGCTTGCCGTCAAGGTGTGAGGCTAGTCGCTTCTCCGTGTCTGTGTTGGCTTGCATGGCACCACACACCTCACACACCTGCTCCCATGCCCACATGCACGCATGCCCACACAGGCACCATGTGCACACACCCACGCACGCACCCACGCACACACGCACACACCGCCAAGCAACCCACAATGCACGCAAGCACACACAGGAGAAAATGCAGAAAGCTCTCTTTCTAAACAAGCGACCCCACAGCCTTTACCCCAAGGACAGCGGCAGCTAGCAAGCAAAAGGAGTATACACTGCAAGAAAGCACTGCAAGCACTGAAAGCACACACTGCGTAGCAGCAGCACGGCAGCAAGCAGCGGGAGCGGAGGCGGAGGCAGAAGCAGCGGTAGGTACCTGCAGGCGCTTCTCCTTTTGGATGACGGGGGAGGCGATGGGTTGTGGCACTGGCGAGGAGCAAATATGGGATAATTTGCAGACGAGAGCAAGCAGGGGGAGCAGCGGGAGCGGAGGAGGCGGAAGCAGCGGTAGGTACCTGCAGGCGCTTCTCCTTTTGGATGACGGAGGAGGCGATGGGGTCGGGCACTTGCGAGCGCAGGAGAGCCTCCTTCTCACGGTTCAATGCATCCACCTGGGAAAGGGGGGGTGGGGGAAGGGGGGGTATGTGGGGGGAATTCTGATGTGCCCCGAAATTTGTCTCACTTCCAGGCGAGTCGGGGACTGGTGGGCGCAGGAGAGCCTCCTTCTCGCGGTTCAATGCATCCACCTGCATGGGCGGATGGGGGGAAGGAATGGGGAGCGGCGAAAGAAAGGGAATCATGGGCGGGGATGACTTTTGTGTGGACTCTCAACAGTCATTCGATGGGGTCCGGCACTGGTGAGCGCAGCAGGAAAGGCTTCTTCTCGCGGTTCAGTGCATGTGCATGTCCACCTGCATATGAGGTGACTAGACGCTTGTTCTTGCAATTCTGTCCTCGCTAGACGCTTGTTCTTGCAATGCTTCTTCTCGCGGTTCAGTGCATGTGCATGTCCACCTGCATATGTGGTGGGGTTGGGAGGAAGGAATGGGGTTGGGCTGAATGGGTTGAAGGGAGGTGAAATTTAGTGAAGGGAGGTGAAGAGAGGTGAAGGAAGGTGAAATGAAGTGAAGGGAGGTGAAGGGAGGTGAAATAAAGTGAAGGGAGGTGGAGGTTAAGGGAGGGCTACGTTTAGAATCCGGACGAACGACAGTCTTAGTCTCCTTGCAAAAGCTATCTTCCTTGCTAACAAAAACCAAACACTCACAACCACTCCCCACCACTCCCCACCATCCCCCTCTCTCCCACTCTCTCCCCCTCCTCCCTTCCCCACGCACACCCTCCATGCCCCCCCAACGGTGACCTGCGCCCAGTCCACAAGCCGCCCTGCTCGTCCTCCAGCTTTTCTACAGTCGACTCAGCAACCCTTCCCTCCCCCGCCCCCCCCTGCCATCCCCACCTCCCCCCTCTGCGCACCTTCCCCATGGTGGCCTGGGCGCGGTCCACAAGCCCCTGCTCGCCCTCCAGCTTTGTTTCAGCCAAATCAGTACCCACTTTCCCCCTCGTCCCCAACCTGCCCTCCCCTTTTTTCCCCTCCCCCAGCCCGCTCCCCCCCCCCCCGCACCTTCCCCATGGTGGCCTGGGCGGTCCACGAGGCCCTGCTCGCCCTCCAGCTGTATTTGAGCCGACTCAACAACACCTTCCCCCGCCCACCCCTTCCCCCGCCCGCCCCTCCCCCCCCCTTTTGCCCCCTTCACCCCCCCCCGCCCGCACCTTCCCCATGGTGGCCTGGGCGCGGTCCACAAGCCCCTGCTCGCCCTCCAGCTCCGCCTGGCGCAGCAGCGCCTGCACCTGCGCGCCGATGGCGCTGATGCGCTCCGCGTGCACCGCTGCGCCCTGCCCCGCAGGCAGCTCCTTGTCCAGGCGCTCGTGGCACCGCTTGATCTTGCTGCGCGCACGGGGGGCGGGGGGGGGGGACGTAGGGGGAGAGAGAGTGGGCGTGCGGAAGAGGAAGAGAGGGGAGCAAGGAGGAGGAGGGGGGAGCAGGGGGAGCGAGGGAGAAAAGAAAGGGCGAGGGAGTGAGGGAGGAAGCGGGGAGCGTGAGAGTGAGAGAGGCGGGGAGAGAGATGGCAGGCAGCCCTGCCCCGCAGGCAGCTCCTTGTCCAGCCGCTCGTGGCACCGCTTGATCTTGCTGCCGCGCGGAGGAGGGGGGGGGGGGGGGGGGGGGGAGGGGAGGCGGGAGAGAGAGTGGGTGTGCGGGAGAGGGAGAGTGAGAGAGGGAGGGAGGTAGCCAGATCTGCCCCGCCGGCAGCTCCTTGTCCAGCCACTCGTGGCACCGCTTGATCTTGCTGCGCGCAGGGCGCGCGAGGGAAACGGGGAGGGAGGGGGGGAGGAGGTGCGGTGGAGAGTGGGGCGATTGAGGGGGGGTGAAGGGTGCGAGAGGGGAGAATGGGGTGAAGGAGGAAGGGAGCAGGAGGAGGGAAGGGGGAGGATGGGAGAGTGAGGCAAAGAGAGTGGCAGTGAGGGAGCTAGAGCATTCCTGCATGCGTGCCCGCAATTCGTGCGCGCTTTCAAGCTCGCTCGCGTTCTTTTCCGTGTTCGTGCACGCGACCCGACTACCCGCTCACCGTTCGAGATCCGCTATAAGCCGCTCCAGGTAAGCTAAGAGCTCCGCCTCGAACTGCGCCACCTTAGTGGACGCCAGAAACTCCTCCCGCAGCGCGTCGTCGTGCACGCGCGGGCACGGACCCAGGTCGGAGCGCGTGTTGGGAAAGAGATCGTTGGGACAGAAGGCGACTAGATGGTAGCGGCATACCTACGCGGGGGAGGGAGGGGAGAAGGGGGAGGGGTGAGGGGGGGGGGAGGGGGAAGGGGCTATTGAGGCGCCTCAATCAAAGGTGGGCACGGGCCCAGGTCGGATCGCGTGTTGGGAAAGAGGTCGTTCGGGCAGAAGGCGACTAGATGGTAGCGGTATACCTGCGCGGGGGAGGGAGGGGGAGGCGGTGTGGGGGTTGGGGAGGCGGGAAGGGGTTCGGAAGAAAGGAAGAGCTCTGCGGAATGGACAGAGAGAGAATCGCGATTGCGAAATCGGAGAGAAATAAAAAGGAGAGAAATGAAAGAGAAGTAGGCAGCAGACGGAAAAGTAGGGTAGCAGGGTGCGTGGGGCTGAAAGTGGTGCGAGAGAAGAGTCGATCAACGGAAAGAAGACGGGAGATATAGGCCCAGGTTCAGATCAGCTTCGCTCAGATTCGCTGCGATTAAGAGATGTTTTCAAGGTAAGCATAGACCGTCCAACCACATTCCAATCATCAACCGTAAGCGTGACACGTGGCAGCTCTCCGCGCGGCCGTCTCCTACTCCCCTCACGCACCTCGGGATCGTCGAACCGCAACTTGCGTTTCTTCTGATCCAACGGCAGATCTCGGTCCTTGCCCATAAGCTCGTCGAGTAACGAGCGAGCATCCATCTTGGGTCAGGTTCGCACGAACAGCTCTCACGATCTCGACCTGCCGTGTAAATGAAGGCCACCGCGGACAAGGGTACGAACGAAACCACGGACGAGTAGACGAAACGGCGTGTGCACAGGCTGCTAAAACAATGGCGCCGAGTGCATCCCTCCAGCCATCGTCGTTATGCGACACGAGAAGCGGAGGGATAAGCAGAGGTTAGGAGATCACGGGGTTTTTCTTCAGGTGGACGTAGGTCGTATTTCAACAAAGCGGTTGCATATCCTTGCTCGCAAGTTCGCAAAGCTGTAATGTACAGTACAGTAAGATGTGTGACACTTGCAAATTCCTATGGTAAGAAGACAAGCGAGGGCGTATCCAAAAAAGGTCGTCAGGATGCGGCTGAAATTAGCATTCTGTCCCCGACATAGTGTACTCCTAGGCCAAGACTCATATACCGATAGTGCTGTATCCTGGAAAATAGTTTGATGCCCACGATTCTAATAATGTGGACCATCGATAATCAGACTGTATAAGGTACCTGTACAAGCATGCAAATCCACATTCGTAATCTGGACTTATGAGCAGTGGTACAAAGCGTAACTGGATGAACTGGGCCACTAATTACATCAGTTTCTTCCACTTTCCGCAGAGAGCCTCAAACTTCGTTCCATACCCAATCCTCACAAATTTCCCTTGGCCCAACGCACTATTAATCACGCTCCGTACATCAGCCAGACTCCCTGGCCCTACGCCCCCTGTGAAAGTGAAGCTGTAGCGCTTGCGGCGACCAGTCTTATCACTCGTGATGTTCGTCCAAGGTACACCAGCTTGGCCTAGCACAGTGGCAGCACAAGATTTTCCGCCACTTAAGGTAGGAGCCTCGCCGCCAGACCTGATGTTCAAGATGTCGACGGTATATTTGATGTAGTATGACGTTGCTGAGTACCTGCCAACAGGACATGGAGAGGGGGTCGCAAAGAGGGGAGAAGAGTGAGCCAGTAGTACCGTAGAGGGTCAGGGAGTCGCGAAGGGGGTTCAGGGGAGAGGAGTGAGCCAGTAGGGGGCCACTAGTTCAAAAGCAATGAACGGTTCAACCAGAGCAATGATGGGTGCAACCAGGGTCTCTTGATCCTGTCCTGTGTGATCCTATGGAACAATAGCACCAGCAGAGAGTAATCACACGGAGAGGACGCACCTCACTGCCTTCACGATGTATTTCCCCAAGGCACCTTTGTCTCCGACTAGCTTTCCATTGATCTTTGTGGGATGCAGCTTGACCGCGTACTTAACTGGCCATGGGCATGGCATGGCAGGGATCATGGTGGGTGCATGGGGAAGGCAGGCAGTGAAAGGATGGCAGGTGAGAGGTGGAAGCACCATGGCTTGAGAACCGTTCTCTGGGCACACTACAGTCACAGAAGAGTAGCACTCTGCTAGCATGCACAAATGCTGACTCTTTTTTTCAGATGCACAGCAAGTGCAGTCATGCACAGCAAACAGATTCATGCACGTGAGTGGCCAAGAGGCCACCACCGCTCAAAACAAAAGAGGCCATTGGCACACCACAGCAGGTACATCGCAGCAAGAAAGCGAGCCGAAAACGAGCAAGAAAACGACACTAGCTTAGTGTCGGATTGGTCCCATCCCACCAGCTTTACGGAGAGTCACAGAGCTTAGTAAGCGCGCAGCAGACACTTACAGATCGTCTTCCCTTGCCAAACCAAAGGCCTGGCCTGGGCGACAGACGCGGGAGAAACGCTGTCGCCACCGCGTGGGAGGAGTGGCGAGAGAAGTGATGCAGACGCGGCCGCAGTGAAGAGCGCCGCACCTGGCGGGCAGGCAGCAGAGGAAACAAGCGAGGGAAGTGTTAGGCATGAAACCGCCCAAAACAGGCAGAACCCCGCTGGTGGCAGCGCTACAATAAAGTGTCGCTTACAGAGGAGGACGAGGAAGAGGAGTACCACGCGCTCCATGTTGGTAGTGGTAGACAGGAAACGGCGAGGTGTTGCTGAAGATCCGGTGCTCGTGATGCAGGCGGAGGTGAGTCTCGTAATACTCATTCAATAGTACTAGTTTGGCTCGGAGGTGAGTCTACTAGTTTAGCCCCGAGCCACTTTTATTAGGGTAGCATGGGGAGGGATGATCATGGAATGCCGCTGTAAGTCACAGCATGGACGCGTCACGGGGTGGCAGGACGAGGACGGGAACGCGGAGGAGGCGGGAAGGCGCTGGGCCGCCTCGGTGGCTGTTACCATTTCAGTGAACTTGGCTGTGCCGAGCAGAGTCAGCTGCGCGGATATAGCCTTCGAATGGAGACCTGTCCCGCACGGCAGGTAAGCCATGGAGTTGCAAATTTGGTTGCCAGAAACGACGCGCCATCCCAATCACTGCTCCAGCGCGCGTCTCTTCGGAGGACTGTACAAAAGTCTTGAGGGTCGCACGGCTGCTTTCACTCCCCATCAATGGTCAGGTCTGATATTTTTTTTTTATAAAGATCGCCGTGGTCAGATGGCATAGTAGACCTCGCGAAGTATGTTCGTAAGATAAAATACAAACAAGCGGTGCAGCCATAAATTTCAAAAACCGGTTTTGTCGCTAGGGGGAGTTTACAGTGGAGTAGTTTTTCGGGGTGGGAGCACATATGAAGGTGAGTAACGGTTTGAACCGGCGGTGAATTGGTAAAGCGCCACGTGCTGCACTCGTCGCGAATCGCGAAGTTGCACTTGTGTTACGGGTGCAAGGAAGCAAGGATGAGCGAAAGCACCAGAACGAAAGGTAGCGAGATTATGGTAACGGTAACTGTAAGGACACAACTTTTCCTTCGCATCACACTGGTCGTAACCACATGTACATCACATGCCCGGAAACTCGTTCGGAAGGGAGTTGGAGAGCTCGTTCCTCCACTCCCAGAAGTGAGACACGTAAGTGATGCACTGGAGTGGGATTCGTGCAATTCCGCGTCATATTTCCACGATTGCGTTGGAGATGTGAGAAAAAAGCCCGCCCCGCAAGAACTGTCCTTGCCTTGGTGTTGCCGATATTTTTTTCACGACAGCGCGCGTATTTTCTTCAGGAGTCCTGTCCAGTCCAATCAGTGACAGTCCGTACATGATAGTTCAGCACATAGTAGCTGAATAAGCAACGCCGGGGACAACTGGCACGACAAGTTCCAGTTTTGCCCACTGCACAGTGACGTCACCCTCGCGAAATCCCTCCTGTCCTAGCCCTGGTGGTGCTGCTGGTGCCCCTAAATCCGCGTCCCGCACCCCCCCCCCCCTCCCTTGTCCCTCCCGTCCCGAGTCCAGACCTGTGCCATCCTGCCCGCCCACACCGCGCGTCGTTGAGTTGCTCCCATGGCGCCCAATCCCAACCGTTTCACAGACCACTCGCGAGTCGCGCCTCCCACCCCAGGCCTCTCGGGCTGAAGAGGACGAGAGGATGGTACATTAGTACATGATCATGATTCATTTGCAACACAAGCACCTAATTTTCATCTGAAAATCGCCTCCTCCTCTCTCGTTCTTCCTTCGCCATTTCACTTCTACTGCTACTAGTAGTACTAGAACCAGCAAGATGAATCGCGCGACGTCGCTCCAAGTTTTCCTCCTCTGTAAGACCTCTTGCCGTATCATCGCCTCTACGCTCCTAGTCGATGACTTTCTCACGCCCGTGCTTCCGCCACGTGTGCGTCGCTGCTGCGTGTGTACCGTCGTCAGAAGCATCCCCTGGCTGGTCTTTCGTTCTTTCGTCCTTTCGTTCTTTGATTCCCCTGGCAGGTGAACGTCACATCAACCGCCTCCCCTCATGCTCCTTCCTGCCCCGCCCGTCCGCCAGGTTCGGCGCTCCTCACTGCCGCCGCGCCCGCCTCCCCCCGGTCGCCTGTATTCCCAGGCGTCGGAAGCTTTTCTGCCGCGCCTGCCGCCGCGCAGGCCAGGCCCCTGGTGTGGCAGGGGGCGGCAATGAGTAAGTGTCTGCAGCGCGCTTGCCGCTGTGCCGCAAACGTTCTTTTACAACCCAGCGGAGGCGGGCACTTGCTCAACCATTGACGATCTCGCGTGAGGCGTTTTGCTGTGCAGGAGTGGGCCTGCTATGTGTACGAATGCTGTGCCGTGCACTCAAAAACAGAGTCGGCATTTACTTGTACCGCCGCGCTGCCGTCCGCGCTGCCGTTCAGCAGCCGTCGTAGCGCCGTGCTCCTCAAATCTTATCCTCCCCCCCTGAGCAGGAGTGGACCTTCTGTTTATGTCCTGCTGTTGTAATTTAGCGTCGTTCGGAATGTTGTGCTGTGCGCAGCGCACTCAAAAACAGAGAATCAGCCTTGTTTGTCAACATCCAACATCCTCGCAACCGGCGCCGTGCTCCTCTTCTCTAGCCGTCGTACTGCGACTCGCACTAGTAGTAGTGCCTCCGCCCACTCAAATCTTATCCTTCCTTCCTGTGCGCCCCGACCCCTGCCATGTCACGAGGTGACTGTTGAGTCGACTCAAAAGTCACTAGTAGTAGTGCCTTTGCCCACTGATATCGTATCCTTCCCTCCTGCGCGCCCCGACCCCTGCCATTGTCCTCGCCAGTAAAGTACGCAGCCAAGCTGCATCCCACTAAGGTCAACGGTAAATTAGTCGGCGACAAAGGTGCAAGGGGGTTGTATGCCATCAAGGCAGTGAGGTACGTCTCCTTGTGAACTTTAGCGTATTGATGCTACTTTCAATAGCTAGGTAATGAACAAGATTGTGGACCCGTGCTCGTCCCTCCTCCTCCCCCCCCCCCTCCCTCCTCCTCCCCCCCCCTTCCTCCCTCCGCTCCCCTTCCTCGCTCCGCACCCCCTTTAATCCTCTCCCCTTCCTTGTTCTCTCAACTCATGCCCCCTTTCGCAATCATCTCTCTCCTTATCGCGTTACAGGTACTCGGAATCGTTAAGCTACATGGAGATTACCGTCAACGCTGTAAACATCAAGTCCGGAGGAGCAAAACCTGCCGTAACCATCGGGGATTCGTGTTCTTCTGTCACGAAATTAGGCGACACTGGAGTTGGCTTCATGAACATTACGAGTGCGAAGGCTGGTCGCCGCAAGCGTTACAGCTTCACTGTAACAATGATGCAAGGGCCAGATACTGCCAATAATATACGCGCCATGGTTGCTATTATCTTGATGCAAGGCAACGCAGTGACTATTGGCCATGATGCAAACTTCAGAGCACTCTGCGGAAGGTTTAGAAGAGTGGATTAGTGAGTGGTGCTGGTAGTCAGTTGCCTGACAGTTTGTATGATTTTTGTCAGTTTGTCTGGTAACCAGCATCTGTTTGTATTTTTAGAGTCAGTTACAAAGCCTTGAGTTGAGTACCGCAATCAGACCAAGACTCCACAAGCCACTTTTCACTGTTTCACACACCAAGGCGGTACGGGCAGTGCCCTAGATATCAGCCTTTTTACGCTGATTCAGCGTTAGATCAGGCTTTTTTTTAGGGGTTAGGCTGAATCCAAAGTTTTTTGTTATGTAGCTTGGCTGATTTTTCAGTGTTTGTTTCTATACCTTGGCTGAATTTTCAGCCTGTTTGTATGAGTGTAGGCTGAGCACTCAGGCTTGTAGTGGGTACACACTGAAACCGGAAAACAGTGATTTCCGCCAGCACACCACTTCCACACGAACTTCCCCCCCCAGCCCCCATGTTCCACTCGAATTTCCCCCCCAGCCCCCGTTTTCCACTCGAATTTCCACCCCCCCCCCGCCCCCGTGTTCCACTCGAATTTCCCCCCAGCCCCCGTGTTCCACTCGAATTTCCCCCCCAGCCCCCGTGTTCCACTCGAATTTCCCCACCAGCCCACATGTTTCACCCAAATCTCCCCCCAGCCCACTTCGTCCACTCTAATAAACCCCCCTTTCAACTCTCCTCCAGCCCAACCCGTTTCTCCCCTCAGCCCAGGTTGCTCTCTCACCCCTTCCCCCAGCCCACCTCGCCCCTCCCCAAAGCCCGCCTGCCTCCCTCGCCACTCCCAAACCAACCATAAAAATGTTACACAAAGTATATGTAATTCGTAATTCTGCTTAGAATCAAAGCTATACACAATCAGCGTAAATTTGTTATGAACACTGATTTTTCAGAGTTTTTTTCCTAGGTAACGCTGACTGTCAGCGTTTTTTTCCGTACCAGGGCTGATGGGTCAGCCTGGTCCAAAACGAATCTAGGGGCCTGGGTACGGGTGACCGATTCTTGTAGATTTTCAACCCATCTCGGGCAGATTGCATGGTACGCATTGTTAGTGGCAGCAGGTTACATGTGCTTTCACTTGCCGTGAGTTTGAGTGCGCTTCTTCACACCTAGTAGCAGCGAGGAGCAGTGAGGCACAGAGAAGAAGGTACACCTCTCCACCGCACTCCACCACTCCTGCACGCACGCTGCCAGATACACCTGCTCCCGCTCCAGCCCTATCACAATGTCCCTGCGCCACGTGGTGCTGTCTGGTTGGTCGGTGGGGAAGGCAACTAGCAGCTGGCAGGCTGGTGGTAGGGAGTGCTGGCGTAGCAGGGCTGCTAGGGTGGGGAGGTCGGATCCATCCAGGCTCAACTGGGGAAAGAAGGTTCGGGTGAGGAAGGGAGAGAGGAGAAGGTGAGAAGGTGAGAGGAGACAGACATGTGTGGTGGTGTAATGGGCTGGGAGATGTGCGGATGAGCACACAGTACAGGCACAGATTACACAAACACGGATTTGCAGAAGAGCAAAGGGACAGGCAGCACAAGAATGTGCGGCAGAATTAGCAGCACACTGGGATGGGAAGAAGAGCACACACCATCACCACTCACTCACCTTGAGCACATCCAACGGTGTTCTCTGCCTCTGCGCACTGCTGCTGCTAACCTCGTCCAGTACGGCGCTTTTGAAAATTCTCAGAAGAGCACACATCACCACTCACCTTGAGCACGTCCAGTGGTGTTCTCTGCCTGTGTGCGCTGCTGCTGCTGCTGCTGACCTCGTCCAGTGCAGCATGAACCACTGCCACACCCAATACCCGCCTCACCACCTCCTCCTCCCACGTCCCCTCCCCTCCCACCCCCTCACCCTCAGAACCACTACCACCACCACCACCTCTGCTGCTGCTGCTGCTGCTGTGAGGGTCTGTGCAGGCAAGTGAGCTGGAGGCGGAGAGGGGGGAGGTGGCGGTGTAGAAAGAGGCAGAGGGCGGGCCGAGGAGGTCCATGGGGCCCAGCAGGGCGCGATGGCAGATGGCAGCGATGGGTGGGGCTGACCACTCGTCCGCTGCCGACTTGAACTGCGGAAGGTGGAAAAGAAGGAAGGAGGAAGGGGGACAAGGGGGAAGGAGAAAAAGGAGAAGGGGGAAGAAGAGGAGTTTATTTTCTGAGGCGTCTTCCTTACCGCCACCATTGCTGCTACTGCTGTGAGCGTCCATGCAGGCAAGGGAGGCAGAGGGCGGGCCGAGGAGGTGCATGGGGCCCAGCAGCGAGCGATGGCAGATGGCTGCGATGGGCAGGGCTGACCACTTGTCCGCTGCCGACTTGAACTGTGGAGATTGGTCGCGGAGAGGCGTGGGGAGGGGGATTGAGGAAAGAGGCAAGGAGAAGTTCTTGAGAGGTCTCTAAGAAGGTGGCAACGACGGGTGCGGATGACCAGTCATCGAATGCGGAGGGTGGTGGGCGGTGGGCGGTGAGGAGAGGGAGGGGGAGGGGGAGGGGGAGGGGGGGGGGGGGGGGAGAGGGAGGGGGATGGGGAAGGGGAAGGCAAAGGGGAGGAGACTCCCCCAGGCCCACATCCTCAACGACCCTCCTCAGAGCAGCCAGGTCAGCACCAACGGCTTTGTCAAAGGCGGTGGGCCAGGCGGCGGGGTCCCAGGAGCGCGTGGGATCGCAGAGGAGCACTGCAACGCGGGGGGAGGTGGGGCGGTTGAGCCAGTTCTCAGGGAGCAAGCAGCAAACCCTAGTCGACCGGGCTCAAAGCATGAAACAAAGCCGCGGCACTGCTCATACTCACCTGCCCTTCCCCACCCCGCCCCTCACCTCTTCAAACTGCCGCTCGCACTCCTCCACCAACCCCGCAGCGCCGCCAACTCAGCACCAGCAGCGGCGTCAAAGGCGGCGGGCCAAGCGGATTCCCAGGGACGCGTGGAAACACAGAGGAGCACTGTCCCGCGGAGGGAGGCGGGGTGGTTGAGCCGACACACTTCTCAGGGAGCGAGCAGCAAACCCTAGTCAGGCAAAACTCTTCAAACCGAATCTCACCTCTTCAAACCGCCTCACACACTCTTCCAAGCCCACGTCCTCAACCACCCTCCGCAGATCAGCGAGCTCAGCACCAGCAGCAGCGTCAAAAGCAGTGGGCCAGTCGGATTCCCAGGGATGAGTGGGGTCACAGAGCTGCACTGCCCCGCGGGGGGAGGCGGGGCGGTTGAGGCACTTCTCAGGGAGCGAGCAGCAAGCCCTTGTCTTGTCGGTCCTACTACCTACTCATACCAGCAAATCTCAGAGCAAACCGGCAGCACTACTCATACTCACCTCCCCTTCCCCACCCCATCCGCGCCCTGCCCCTCACCTCTTCAAACCGTCGCTCGCACTCCTCCAAGCGCGCATCCTCAACCAAGCTTTTCAGAGCAGCAAAGCTTTGTCAGTCTACTCGTACTTTTCTTACCTCTCCCACCTCCCCCCTCACCTCTTCAAACCGTCGCTCGCACTCCTCCAAGCCCACATCCTCAACCAAGCTTTTCAGAGCAGCAAAGCTTTGTCAGTCTACTCGTACTTTTCTTACCTCTCCCACCTCCCCCCTCACCTCTTCAAACCGTCGCTCGCACTCCTCCAAGCCCACATCCTCAACCACCCTCCTCAGGGCAGCCAGGTCAGCGCCAGCAGCGGCGTCAAAGGCGGCGGGCCACGCGGGCTCCCAGGGGTGAGTGGGGTCGCACAGCTGCACTGCCCCGCGGGGGGAGGCGGGGCGGTTGAGCCAGTCCGCGGAGGGCGAGCGGATCCAGCGCGTGGGGGGGATGAGGGCGTACTTGAGGAGCGCCTGGGGGAGGGGGAGAGGAGGGGGGTGGTTGGTAGGGGGAATGAGGGGGAGAATTTGAGGGGATCTGATGGCTGAAGGGGGAATTGAAGGGAGGTAGAGCGGATCCAGCGCGTGGGGGGGATTAGGACGTACTTGAGGAGCGCCTGGGTGGAAGTGGGTGGGTGGGGGGATGATTGTTGCGGGAGAAAGACAGATCCAGCGCGTGGTGGGGGGGGGGGGGGGGGTGGGGGGGGGTTGAGGGTGGTGCTTAGCAGTCCATCTTCTGCTTTAAGCCCGAATCGGTTTGCTGCTCGCTGAGAATAATGTCAGGTGACTGATCATTGGGGGAGAAAGACAGATCCAGCGCGTGGGGGGGCGGGGGGGAGTGAGGGCGTACATGAGTAGCGCCTGGGGGGAACAGGGGTTTGGGAGGGATGGGGAAGATGGGAGGGGTTGGAATGGGGGAGCGAGTGAACGGGAAAATAACGGATCCAGCATGGGCGCGTCAACGAGTGCGTGGGGGTATGGGCGGACGTACCGGCACCTGCACCTGCATCGCTCAACTGACTGAAACATGCGTGTCTGCGTCGCACATGGAGGCTACTTTTGAGGCGCCTCAAAAGTGCACCTGCACCTGCACCTGCACCTGCACCTGAACCTGCACCTGCACCTGCACCTGCACCTGCACCTGCACCTGCACCTGCATCGCTCAACTGACTGAAACCTGCGTGTCTGCGTCGCACATGGAGGCTACTTTTGAGGCGCCTCAAAAGTGCACCTGCACCTGCACCTGAACCTGCACCTGCACCTGCACCTGCACCTGCACCTGCACCTGCACCTGCACCTGCATCTGCATCGCTCAACTGACTGAAACCTGCGTGTCTGCGTCGCACATGGAGGCTACTTTTGAGTTTCCTCAAAAGTGCACCTGCACCTGCACCTGCACCTGAACCTGCACCTGCACCTGCACCTGCACCTGAACCTGCACCTGCACCTGCACCTGCACCTGCACCTGCACCTGCACCTGCACCTGCGTCGCTCAACTGACTGAAACCTGCGTGTCTGCGTCGCACATGGAGGCTAGTGTCGGCAGGTGGGCGAGAGGGGCAGCCAGCACTTGAGAGACACAGACACCTGGTGAGACCACTCCAAGCCCACTCCAAAGCAACCCTACAACAGAGCTTTAAACACGCAATTTTGACCCTTGAACCTTGAACATCGCACTTTAAAGCTCGAGCCTCACCCGGAAGCCAGTGTTGGCGGGCTTGCGTGCTGGGCCAGCACACATGCAGGGCACTTTGAGGCGCGTTATAAACAATCATGAACCTTCACTGTTAATAAGCCTTTGAGGTGCCTCAGAACTAGGCGCCTTAAAAACAATCATGAGCCTAGACTGTTAATAAGCCTTTGAGGTGAATACTGAGCATCGAACCTTGACCCTCAAGCCTTACACCTCACCTGGAGGGCAGTGAAGGCACGAGGAGTGCAGGGCCAGCACTTATGTTGGTCCTGTGTTGAGCACACAGGACCTTGTGTTGTGAGGCATGAGGAAGTCATCGAACCTTGACCCTCAAGCCTTACACCTCACCTGGAGGGCAGTGAGGGAAGGAGGAGTGCAGGGCCAGCACTTGCGAGGCAAGAGAGCCAACCTTTGCTTCCGCCTCTGAAGCAAGCTTACCAGGAGTCCAGTGAAAGCGGGCGTGCAGGGCCAGCACTTGAGAGTCGCCACTTCGTGAGGCGCCTCCAAAGAAAACCTTAAGAGCGAGCGAGCCTTGAACTTTGGACCTCGAGCCTTAAACCTTAAGCCTTAAACATGAGCCTCACCCCGGAGGCCGGTGTAGGCGGGAGTGCAGGGCCAGCACTTGGCGCCATTGAGAGGAGCGGAGGAGGAGAGCGCAGCCGCGAGAACATCGTCATCTGAACCTTGAACCTCACCCGTCTTTCTCTCACCCGGAGGCCAGTGTAGGCGGGCGTGCAGGGCCAGCACTTGGCGCCATTGAGAGGAGCGGAGGAGGAGAGCGCAGCCGCGAGAACATCGTCATCTGGGTAGGGCCGGCGCGAGAGCACACAGAAGGGCACGTCCACCCGCCCCACTCGCACCCCCGCTACTTGTAGCTGTGCCCTCAGACCCTTTTCCGAGTTGAGATCGCTGGTGGGTGGAGGGAGGATGAGGGCAAAGTGGTTGGGGAGATAAGAGCGGGAGGGGAAGGGCACACGGCTGTGAGTGAGCAGCAACGAGCACGTTGGTGAGGAGCAGAGCAGCGGAGGAGGAGAGCGCAGCAACGGGCGCATCGTCTGCTGGGTAGGGCCGGCGGGAGAGCACACAGAAGGGCACGTCCACCCGCCCCACGCGCACCCCTGCCACCTGCAGCTGCGCCCTCAGACCCTTTTTTGAGTTGAGATCGCTGGATGGGGGAAGAGTAGAGGGGAGAGGATGAGGGGTTGAGTACATGAGGGGACACTGAGGGGGGAGAGGGTGGGGAGAAACGAGCGCGAGGGGAAGGGCAGGCGGCTGTGGGGATCAAAACGGTTTGGAAAGAACAGAAGAGCGCGCAGAAGGGCACGCCCCACTCGCCCCACCCCCACCACCTATAGCTTCCCCCTTGAACCTTTCTCTAAAATGAGATAGCTCCATGCTTGGGTTAAGAGGATGAGGGTGGGGAGGAAAGGTGGGATGAGACGCCCGGGAGGGCGGTGGGGAGACAAGAGGATGGGAAAAGAAGCAGATGGAGGGGGGAAGTTGATGAGGGGGGAAGAGGATGGAAGGATAGGATGGGGAAGGTATAAGGCAGAGGGGAATGGCTTTTGAGGCGCCTCAAAAGGCGGAGGGGAATGGCAGACTCAGCACATTCCAACCCATCAAGCAGTGATGGTATGCCACACTTCCCTTCTCCCGCCCCTCCACCCCATACCACCCCACAGTGTGAGGGCCACACACTTACAAACCTGCTCCACCCATTCTTCATCACGTACACACTCATGCCACCCCACACACTCACACACTCACACACAAGCTCTTTTCCCCCAGTCTCCACATCCCCCACTCACACACTTATGCCAACACACACCCAGAAACCTTCTCACCATCCTCCACCTTCCCCCCACCTTCCACCCCACGGTCCCCCTCCCCACGCACTCATAGCCACGTGCCCCCGCCCCCTGCACTCTCCCCTGCTGGCGCCACTGCATACACAGCTGCTGCACCATCGCCCACTCCTCCTCCTGACAACCTCCCACTGCCTGACTCCGGCCGCTTCTGAACCGTCTCAAACGGCCATCGGCGCAGCGCCGGAGGAAGGAGCGAAGACAGGCCACCGGTTGAGTGAGGAGGAGGAGGAGGAGGAGAAGAGGGAGCGGAAGAAGAAGAGAGAGGAGAGAGAGGAGGAAGCGGGGCGGACCAGAACGTATCCACTCTCGTTCTCACGATCCAGTCAAACGTAACGCCATGCCGCCACTCGTACCCTCTAATAAGCGGTATGCAGGTTTCCACGAGGCGGAAGTACTGCAGTAACCCCTGCACGCCCTGGGGGGACGTGCCGCCGTAGAGAACAGACGAGCGGTTGTGCAGGAGAGCCGACTCGTTGAGCCACGTGGGTGCGAATATGTTCACTGCACCCAGCAAAACAGTTCCCATCAACGCCTCCAGCTCAGAGGAAACCGTGCCGGGTGGAATGTCACTGGTCAGTGGTAGTGGTGGCGGTTCACTGGTGGAGGAGGAGGAGTAGCCGTCACTGCTGCTCGAGTGGTCGCGTGTGGGTAGATCGGTGGTGCGTGATCGTGGTCGCACGGCCCATTTGAGCGCCCAGAGCTTGTGTGCGTTCTCGTCAAGAGGCGAGTTGAGGAAGAGAACTGGGAGTGGTGAGGGGCGCGTGGGGGCGTAAGAGGAGGAGAGAGAGGAGGGAGAGGAAGCGTGCGAGGGGGACGGGGAGGAAGAAGCGAGGCCGGCTAATAGGCGGGTGACGATGCTAGGCCCTGTGAGTTCGAAGTCCCTGGCGCCACCCACCAGACAGACTGCTATCCGCGGAGGCACAGGGGAGGTGGATGAGGAGGAGGAGGAGGAGGAGGTAGTGGGGGTGGTGGTGGAGGTAAAGGGGTGTTCTGGGGGTTTCGGTGGCGTGAGTTGAGTCTGATGGATGGTGGGGGAAGGGGAGGGGGTTGGGGCAGTGGTGGAGGGATGACAGCGTGGGAATACGGGGAGACGGGGTGATAGGGGAGAGGGAAGAGGAAGAGGGGAGAGGTTAGAAGGGAGAGAGGGGAGAGGGAGAGGGGAGTGGGAGAGGAGAAGGTCCGCCCCGTGAAGTTGCATCTCACATCACCATTTCAACAACATCGTTGCATCTCGCCAGCACTGCTTTATCTCACCAGCACCGTTTCATCTAACCGAACAGTCACCAGAGCCGTACAGTTTCATCACACCAGGGTCCGTTTCATCTCACCAGCATCGCCAGCAAGAGCACAGCAGCGGCAGCCATCCCCGCACACACCCACACCCACTTCCGCCGCCTCCCCCCTCCCTGCGCCAACCGCTGCTCCGCAGAGCACCATTGCGGGAACATCCGCGCCCTCGCGCGCACCCATGTAAGCGCGCCGAGCCCCCTCTGCGGTCTGGGGGAGACCATCTCCGCCCTGCTCTCCAAACGGGCTAAGTTCGGTAGGCGCCACGAAATGCCGTGCGACTGCGCGTCGCTAGCACCTCATCTATGGAGCGCTAAGGGCTCGTTGACGACTCGTTGACTACTCGTTGACGATTCGTTAAGGTGGCATGATGGCCGAGAAAATGGGGTGCGGCGGATTAGGGAAGTTACGTTTTCTTGAGGCGAAAAAAAGATTGCCAAAAGTGGCATGGACCAAAAGGGGAATGCGAGGATTTGAATGGTGCCTGTCAGGAACGAAACTGAGAGTGAAGGCTTGGCGTGCGCTTGGGCTGTTTCGGCGGCAATTTGCGGCACGTGTCTTTGCTCGAGGACAGCTCAGCTGCTTCGGAAGGTCTTTGTTTTCGGCGCGCAAGAGAACGCCCGATATTGAGCACTTCGTTGCAAGAAAGATGTCGTGCGTCAATGCTATGCTAACAGGATAGGCACAACTACCCACGAGCCATTTAAAATCCATAGCCTTCCCATTTCCTCAATAGTACGTATTAGTACAGTGTGAAACAGAGAATGTCAGAATTGCAAGAGAGATACGGACTGCAGGATGCTCTGTCACGAAATGGCTTGCAGGCGGTTGGGAGGGAGGTGGATTTGGATAAGGTACCCCACCCTACCCTCTGGTTCACAGAATCACAGAGATGAGCTGGCGCAGAGAGCTGCAGTGAGCTCAGTGCATGTTTCAAATGACTTGGATTGGCTCGGCTTTGCATGGCTTGGCTTGGCATGGTTTGGCTTGGCTTGGCTTAACTACAGAATGATTTCCTCCTGCACGCTTGTGTTGAGGGACTTGTGAGGCAGCACAATGCAGTTCACCACCACTGCCTCCTTGCCCACTGCCACATCCTCTCCTGTGTGATTCAAGGGCAGATCAGGCACAAAGGTGAGGGGAGAAAACACGAGTAGAACAGCAAGGGGGATCAAAGAATGTAAGCAGGTGCAGTTGATTGATCTCAAACGAATGGCTCCAATACGGTACAACCCCAAGCAACCCAGCCAGAAAAAAATGAAGGAAACGAAAAGAAGGAACAAACAAACAGACAGAATCTGTGAAGTGCAGAAATAAGGGTCTGCCACGTTACCGAGAATGGTGACTCCAAGTCGCGACTTGAGGTCCCCGCTTCCCTGCACGCGTGCCCACTGCCCCACCACAGACTTCCACCCCACCACTGAGGACACCACTATGGCGTTCTCCTTCAAGGGTTGCAAGGGAGATATGAGGGCAGGTACGGGGACATATATGAGGACAGGTAAGTGGAAGGTGTGTATGTGAGATGCCCACTGCCCGACCGGAGACTTCCACCCCACCAAGGAGGACACCACTATGGCGTTCTCCTGGGAGCGTTGCCAGGGAGGTACAAGGCAGGTACGGGGGTAGGCACAGGGGCAGGTAAAGGGGTCAGGTATGGGGCTAGGTATGGGGGAAGGTGTGCATTTGAGAAGCTCAGTGCAGCAATCTATTGAAGTGCTTCACTTCCCAACATTAATGAGGAAACACTTACTGGGTTGTTGGGCACAAAAGTGCATGGGTTGGCCATACAACTGCAAAACACTTGGGCGAAAAGTGGGTTCTTTGGCGAGTCTCGATTTGACAAAACTTTGGCCCCAGATTTGTAAACCAATCAGACAGGCCCTTTTTTCATCGACTGCAAAACACTTGGTCTACTTGAGACCCTGGCTTTAAAGGGAAGGGCGAGGGAGGGGGAGAGGCAACAGGGGGGCTCACAAAGGTGGAAGGGGAGAGCAGGGGGTGGCAAAAGAAAGAGCAGTGGGAGTAAAGAGAGTGGGAGAGGCCAAAAGGCAGAGGAGGGAGGGACTGACCTTGACTTCGACCTCGTCCAGGATGATGCAGTCTTTCAAGCGCACGCCTGCTTTCTAGTCGACTCAAAGAGTGGGAGACGTCTACAGGCTTTGACCTTGGCACGCGACTGAGGGACCGAGCACACACAAGGGATGGAGGGACTGACCTTGACCTCGACCTCGTCCAGGATGATGCAGTCTTTCAAGCGCACGCCTGCCCCGATGCGCACGTTCGCTGCAATCGACACGTTCGGCCCCACCTGGGGGGTTGAAGAACGAGGGAAGGATAAAAGGGGGGAGACGGCGTGCCGGGGGGAAGTTGAGACCTCGAAGTGAGGTGGGATGAGGTGAGGAAAAGACTAGGTACGGAGCGATGAGAGAGAGAATTGACTCATAGAAGAGTGCATTCCACCAACCCACATCACGATTCCTAACCATGACCTCACATGCTCCTCTCTCTCTTTCAATCACCCTTCCCCCCCTCCCATTCGCACCTTAGCAGAGGGGTGCACTTTAGCGGAGGGGTGGATGAAGCAGTCGCCGATGAGGGTGGGGCCGCCAGGCGTGGAGGGGGCGAGCAGCTGGGGGCTCGTCTGCCGGTAGTATGTCAGGTACAGCTGCGAGCACCGCAGGGCGAGTCTGGTGTACGTGGGGGGAGGGAAAGGGGGGGAGGGGGGGGTGGGTGGAAGGATGAGGATGGGAGAGGGTGGGAAGGGGTTTTTTGGAAGGGTGTTTCGGGGAGGGTTGTGGAGGGGGAAATGATGGTGGATGTGCGAAAACAGATAAGGTGGTAGAGAGGGGGAGGAATGGGGAAGGGGGAGAGGGAGAGAAAGTGGGAGAACGGGTTGAGTGAGAGATGTACTGGCAGTGGTTGGCTAGGCATAGCAGAAAGCAGCGTGAATAGTGGGTGGGAAGAACGGGTAGACTAGACAGCAGCAGAGCAAGAGGGGGAAGCGGCATTTCGACAGCAGTCGCAATAGTGTCGTTACATCACTCCCTCCCTCTCCCTCTGTCTAACCGCCAATCCTGCCTCCTCCCCAAACACCCACCCTCCCCCCACCAGCATACCCGTCCCCGTCCCCGTCCCGTCCCCGTCCCCGTCCCCGTCCCCGTCCCCGTCCCCGTCCCCGTCCCCGTCCCCGTCCCCGTCCCCCGCCCTCTCCCCCTCCGCTCCCCACCCCCCGCTCCTCACCCCGGCGTCTTGATCTGCTCCCAGAAGTCATCAGTCTCAAACGCATACAGCTGCTTCTTGCCTGCCTGCTTCGAAAACACATGCTGGTCCAGCCGCACGTAGTTCTCTGTAGGCAAAGACAGGGAGGGTTGCATTGGGAGGAGAGGGGAGGGAAAGGTGTGGGGGAAGGAGGGGGACTTAAAGGCGCCTCATAAGTCACTTCTTGCCCGCCTGCTTTGAGAACACATGCTGGTCCAGCCGCACGTAGTTCTGTAAGCAAACACAGAGAGGGTTGCACCAGGGAGGGTGGGTGGGTTCGAAAAAAATGAACCTAAAAAATGCATCAAAGAAAAAATGCATCAAAGAGAGGAGGAGGTGGCTGTCACGCAGGGAACAGAAGGAGAAATGCGGGAATAAGGCTGTTGCTTTATCTTGAGGCTGGTTCCCTGCTTCCTCTGCTTTGAGACAATGTACCCCTCGCCTCAGCGTCGGTGAGAGAAGAAGCGGTGGAATATTGAGAAGTGCAGGCATATCCATGTGTACGTACACATGTGTATTTGCATGAGTACGTACACACATGGGTGTTGTATGAGGACAAGGGGTACGGGTGGGGCCTGGGGAGAGATGAAAGAGGAAGCTGGTGTCTGGCTTGCTGCATGTTTGATCACATGCCCCTGGCAAGGCGGAATTCCCCGACCCACTGATGACTCCTTGCCAGGGCCATGTGGCCACACGGGGCACTGCCAGATGAAGGCAATGCCTTGGCAGCCACACATGTGCGTGTGGGTGTGGTGTGTGGGTGTGTGTGTGTAGCGTACCCTAAACCGCGATGCGAGGTGCAGCCTACCTCCGTCGCCCTCAGCGATGGCAGCTTTGATCATGTCCATGATGGCCGGGCGGAACACATACACACCACAGTTGATGCGATCACTCACCTGTCACACACACGCACAGGTATGCACACTCACACAACGCACACGAGCAATAAGGGAGGGCAGGGAGAAGGTGGGGAGAGGGCAGCGAGAATTGGAAAAGGAGCTGAAGCAAGCCTGTTGGACTTATGGAACTCAGTAACTCAAGAGGGGAAAGCTCAGAAACAAGAGGCCCAACACAGCAGTCCTTCCGTGTCTGGGGGCTGTGAGATTCGTTTGTGCATGTGCGTTCTCTTTCGCAAACCTGTTCGTGCATGTGTGAGCAAGCTCGTACGTATGAGGTGGAAAAGCCATGGTGGTGCACGTGTCCCACACCCCACACCCCACGCCCCACACCCCATGGCCCGTGCACGTACAAACGTCTCGGGCTTCTCAGCATAATGCAGAATCTCCTTTGTCTCCGAGTCCGCCACCAGCTCGCCAAAGTCACTCGCCGTGTCTGGCGCCACCTGGGAACGGATTCAAGGGAAAGGAGACAAGGGCCGAATTCAAGGGGACGCACAGGGGAGTAGAGGCAACGAAGAGAGGGCGACGAGGCTTGAGAGTAGTACCAGGGAATCAGACAGGGCGTGAACTGGACAATGGGTTTGAACAGCACTGGCAACAAGCATGGGCACGGACGAATGACAACAGGCCGTGAAAGGGGGAGGTTAAGAGCAGGAGAGGTGGGCAGCAATACCTTACGGCACAGCAGAGTGCCCACACCACCGTGCTTCTTGTGCGAATCTGCATATGTGGTAAAGCGGACGGGAGGGCACACACGGGGCGGACATGCATGTATGGTAGCGCACATGCTTTAAGGTGCTTGCTTCCAATTCCAACCCAAACATGGTGGGTAAAGCGTTGTGAAGCAATGGCTGAAGATGCTCACATGCATGGCAGCACACGTACCGAGCATGGGAGCGAGCGGGAAGGTGGAGCAGACATCGCAGTTGATCACGAAGATGTGATCCTGTTCATCGAGAATGGGACGCCATGGGGGCAGGGAGGACAGAAACAAAGGGAAGAGGACACAGATGAATGGGGCGAGTCTGCAAATTTGAGGCAGAACACGCGCCTAGTGCGATGCCGGTGGGACAGCACTAGGGGATGTATGGTCAGAACAGAACAAGCAGCAGTATTCGACCCACAATGGTGTCACATGCTCTAGTGTTACTTCGAACATTGAGTAGCTCGCTGGAATGTGCAGCCAAACACAGATGGAACCAATCTATACGACAGCCCCACCACACCTCGCCCCACCACACCTCGCCCCACCACAACTCGCCCCACCGCACACGGTGCTACTCTGAGAAGAGATACCAGAAGAGCAGTTGCCATCACACACCACTACCCACTTAACCACACGCCTGCCCACCACACGTGCTCGCTCACACAGTGAATCAGGCAGCACAGCACAGCACAGCGTGGCATGGCATGGCATGGCACTGACCGGTTCGTCCTGAAGGATGGTGTTGCGGAAGTGGTACAGCCCTCCCGCGGACCCATGCGACTTGTCCTCGCGCAGGTACCTTGAGGGGAGAGGAAGAGGGGGGAGAGGGGAAGAGAGCGGGGGAAGAAAGGAGGGGAGAAGAGGGGAGAACAGGGAGAAGACGAGGGGGCAGCGGGAGGGGAGGAAGGTGAGAGACACAGGAGTGGATGGGACGAGAGAAACAGTGCTCCCGCTGACCCAAAGACGTGTCCTCGCACAGTTACCATGGGAAGGACAAGACACCCTGGAGGGGAAAAGGAGGCGGCTTTTTCTACCGCAGGAGACAGGAGACGAGGAGAAGGAAGCGACCGGAGGAGAATGGACAAGGAGTGATTTCAGAGGGAAAAAACATGAGTGAGGGGAGGAAATTTGCAGGGAACGCGTAGACGGAGTGAGGATGGGAGGGGATGGTGGAATAGACCTTCCCATAGATTCGATTTCAGATTCCAAGCTGTACAAGCTTCATAGCTAGACCATGCTTTCACGGACAGTTCAAAAATCTACTCTACACACACGCACATAGAGTCGTAGGCATAGGCGCACCTGATGGGCACGCGCAGCTCGGAGGAGAGAGAGGAGATGAAGGGCGTGAACTCCTTCTCCTCGAAGAACCCGATCACAAACACGTTCACCAGGTTCGGGATCTGCCCGCCCGCACGCAGCGACAAATCACATGCCAGGCGTGAGGGGCGGATGAGTATGGATGGGAGAGGGAGAGGTGGGAGGGGGGGGCGGGGGGGAAGGAGAGAGGGAGAGGGAGCAAAAGAGGAAGTGAGGGAGGGAGAGGGAAAGGGAGAGGGAGAGAAATATGGAAAAGGAGAGGGAGAAGGAGAGGGAAAGGGAACGGGGAGCTTGGATTGAGTTCTGTAGGCACAGCGGGAAGAGCTGAGACCGTTTCGGATTGCGAGAAAGGTGGTGGACGGCAGTAGCTTGCGCGGGGAATGTGAAAGAAGCGGAGGTTTGAGGAACAGCGGGGGAAGGGGGGTGTGGGAAGCGAACTCCCCAACAGGAGCAAAAAGGGTGTCGTTGGAAAGAGAATGGAGAGCAAACAAGTGGCGCATGGATTGACCATTGCTGGGTCAAGAATCATGGATCATGGAGCATGGGTCGTAAGCATTGATCATGGTCATGGGTGGACCATGGATCATGGATCATGCATCATGCATCATGCATAATGGATAATGAAGTATGAATAACCTGTTGGCAGGCGTGGATGGGATGGTGAACCATGGGCTTGCCGGCCAGGGGGAAGAGCGGCTTAGGCACGTTCAGAGTGAGCGGCCGGAAGCGGGTCCCTGGACGGGTACGTACGCGGAAGGGTACGGGGAAAAGAAGAAAATAAGCATTGGGGTGATAAGGGAAGAGTTACGCGGATCAGAACAGGAAATTGGGTCCAAACACTTCCCGCGGAACTACCATTGCATACGATTGTGCGTTGGGCTGAGAGCCCTGTGAGTTTTAGATTCGATGAGGTGAAAACGGAGATCTGGTCGAGAGAAGTTCTGATGCCTATGACTGAACACAATCCCTCTGTTTCGGCACAGTCCTCGTTGGGGGAGGAAGTGAGGCTATGCAATTGGCTGTCGATCCGTCTGCTAGATCCATCGTTTTCCGATCTATTTGGCAGGCATGAGTATGCTGATCAATCAGCATGAAGAGCATACATCAGCTGTGCACGAAGAGCATGAATCAGAAACTGTCGCGTGAATTCCTCCGTCTCGAAGTGCCAGAGTGGCTGCTTGAGGGAATAAACTCGCTCAGGATAGTGCGAGGCAAAATACTCATTCTTCCAATCTTACCAGTTGTGGGTCCTCCAACCAGAATCACGGCAATAGTTTTGTCCGCCATTGCACCTTCGTCTCACGAAATTGAAGTGCGAAACCGGAGATTAAGCGGCAGCACACGGAAAATAGGACGGATGTGGAGTGCACAAAAGGCCTGGCGAGTGCCGGAGCGACAAGAGGATCAAGTTTATCTCTTGAACGGCCTGGCAAACTTCCGTGGTTGACTGCTGCTGGAGGAGGCAGAGAAAACCAGGCTCTAATTAGAATCTGGAACTAAAGGGAATGGAAATGGATCCAATTCCACCTACTTGCTGGTTGGTGTGATTTGAATGGGTGGCACGCGATCCGGTGGGGTTGGGTTGGGTCGAGAAGCGGGATTGTTGAGCGCTTGGAAGTTGGAGACAAGATCGGGATGTGGGTAGGTGCTGTGGTGGGTGGACCCTGGGCCAGGGGCAGGTGACGGTGCAGAGGGGAGGAAACTGGGGAGGGTAACCTGAGATCTAGAAACCAGGTTTGGGCAGCCTCGCATACAGCATCATTTGCCTCGCCCAGCTTTTCCTGCTTTTTTAGAGCTGCCAACAATTTTGAGTACATGTTTAGATACACATTGGGTTGTAAATGTTCATAAAACTCCCACCCACACTTTGCTGCAATTGACGTGTCCTGCTGCTTCCAAATTCGCACTGCCGGGGTAGCCCCGAAACCTCTTGACCCTGGCAAAGATTCCTGCGGTGGAATTATGCTTCCTCGTCAGGTATCTGTCAACCCTCTCATCCACCTGAATGGTCCACGTGGTTTCTAACTGTCGTCGGTTACTGGCTGCGAAGTGTCGACAGCGCTGCCAGGTGGAGCTTATGCAGAGGGGTGTGCTGGCTGACGAAATTATAAACAGGTTTACCACGGTTTCAGGGCTTACCTATTTCGATTGCATAACTGTAGAAAATATTGCTGACATTGGATCAGTGCTGGAATCTGTTGCCTTTTATGTGGATGTTAGAATGTAGAACCCAGTCCAAACCTGAACAGGGCAGAGTTGCTATGAATGCTTGAAGTACACATGGAATTTTACAGCAAGCTTCATAAGTCTTATGTGATCAGTCCAAGGCTGCTTCTCAATCAAGCGCTGCCTGGGCAGATGGTGCAGCAGCCTCCTCCTCCTCGTCCTCATCACTCGATACAAGCCCCTCCCTCTGCCCTTCGGCCACACTCGGCAAGCTGCCATCCCGTGGCTCCTCTGTTTTCTGCTTCTTCCGCTTCTCTTTCTTCTTTTGCCTTTTCGCTCGCTTCTTTGCTGTTCGCTCCTCCGCTTCCTTAAGCCGTTGTTCTCTGGACAAGACAATAAGAAAGTCAAAGAGGTTGAGGAAGTGGGTGAGGAGGGCGGGGAGGAAAGGGGAGAGGGGGGGGTTGGAGGCGAGGAGTGGGGAATGGCGGGAAAGGAGGTCAAAGCGAAGGGCAAGAGTAGCACGATATGCTATCAAACCTAGGACCTCAAAAACAAATCAGGCACCTAAAAGGTGTAGACTCAGCACCGTGTCCTACCATGTCATACCACACCATCTCTTTGTGCATGGCTATAATAATATCACACAGGTTCAGGTCAGGAGCACACTGACCTGCATTGTTGGAAGCGCTTCTCCTCCATGCGCTTGTTATAATCCGCCTCCATCCGCATCAGCCGGTCCTGCTCGTGCCGCCGCATCGCTCGGTACTGCCCATGCGCATGACATTCAACATTCACATGATTCCATTTAAGGCGCACGTGAATGACAACGGCACATCCCATTCACAGACAAACAGAGAACGGAGAGTAGCCCGTTGGAGCCGCCATTCATCACACGAGTGACCCTCTGCCCGACCCTCAAGGCTGAACCTTGGGCTGACCCTCGGGCTGAATCTCAGGCTAACCCTTGAGCTGAACCTTAGGTTGGTCCTCAAGATGAATGCAGATAGAAGCGGATGGCATGCTCGGGATCACGTGGAAAGCAGGCGTATGAAAGGGGGAGCACACAGTGTAGATCAGAAACGGCACAGGTGCAGCTCTGGCGAACAAAGGCTTAGGCTATGTGTAAAAGGCAATCCATGGTTCACTCTGCATGATACACGCGGATTGAGGTGCACAGCGCGCGGGACAGCTGTGGCTCGCGCCAGCAGCAGCTGTCAGCTCGCCCGCTCTGAGTGATCCCAGCCTAACACCCACTTTGCTCTTCCCTTGCGAACACTCGCAACGCAGCAGCAACCTTGTCGGGGATCCCATCCCGTTGCTCGTATGCATGACACATATAAATCACAACTAGCGCTCTAAATCTTAAAACTGAGACGCGGAAGGACCAGTCCACCCGTCTAAGGACTCGGACAGGGTAAGGCGACCAGTCTAACCGTCTGTCTCACGTTACAGAATTCCTTCCACTTTCCATTCCCCATCAAGGCTTCCGCTTCCGCTTCACTCCCCTCATCTCGTTTCCCTTCCGATTTCCCTTCCGCTTCCCCTCGCTTTCCCTTCGGTGCTCCTTTCCACCGCACCTGGTGAAAGTCTCCGCTTCCGCTGCCCGCGGAGCTTCCGCTGGTGCTGGTGATGCGCAGCGGGACGCACTCGGAGATGCGCTGTAGCTTCACCTCGTACGGCTCCTCCTCCACGTCACCCTTGGGATCCTCGCGCTTCGTCTCTACGATATCGGGAAGCGCGACTATCTGCGTGTTGCCATCCGTGAAGGTTTGCGACGTCGTGTACCGAGGCATGCTTGCAAAATTCGCGAAGAATTAGGAATGAAGAAGGTGAAAGCTGGTGCGACGTATGGGGTGGACGCTGGAAAGCAGTAGTCGCGGCGGTCGTGCGTGAAAGACGCTAGCTAGGTTGCGAAGAGATGATAACGGTAGGCAACTGGACTCTGGATGGATACGAAACGTGAAAAGCCAGCTGCACTGCACTCCACCTTTCAAACCTGCAACCCGATCCCATTCGCATTCCAGTGTATCAATTTGGATATATTCACACGAACCAAAGATTGCCTATATTATTAAAAAAACATTAGGTTATATTACTTCCTTCCCAGGCGTTTTGTGCAATATCATAGTGGCAGTACAGTTTCCACCAATCTGGCACAAATTTGAAACATATTGCATTACAACAATAATACCGTACATGGGATATGATAACCAGGATTACAACAGGCTAGTCAAGGGAGGAAGCAAGAATGGAGAGCACTTGCAACAACCACCGGAAGGCGTAGGAACTATCGCAATACTATATTGTGATTCCGCAGCTCCTCGACTGGGTGCAGAGTTTGCTGCATAGGATTAGTGTGTGAGGTCACTAAGCTGGATTGTGGTAATGGGAAACTGGTGGAGTGGGATGGCATAAGCACTAGTTTAAGAGAGGGGCACGCTGTGTGCTAGGTACTCAGAGCCTAAGACCAACAGAGCACGGGCGGGAGGAAAGCCGGAAGAGGGCGAGCGAGATAGTGTGAGCGGGAGGGAAGAGGAGGAGAGTGGGAAGAGGAAAGGGAGAGAGGTAAAACGGGAGAGTGTAAGGATGGAGACAGGCTGATGGAGGTCTTGGGGCTTAGAACACGGGGAAGTAAAGGCGGTTATATAAGAGACAGAGGGGATGGTACAGGGTTCTGGGATCAGATAGCGATGAGAGGGAGCTTGAGGTGGGTAGAGCATGGCAGCTGACAGGTGGAGGCACTGCAGGTGGAGGCACTGCAGGTGGAGGCGATTAGAGGGAGCTTGAGGTGGGTAGAGCATGGCACTGAGAGAGCACTCGCTTGCAGTTGCTGCTGCTGCTGCTCCTACTGCTGCTGATGATCATTTCCCATACGTAGGAGAGTGCATGCAGGAGAGTGAAGGCAGGGGAGTGCATGCAGGAGAGTGCATGCAAAAGAGTACGAGTGTGGGGTCTGGTGGCAGGTTCTTCCATGGAGGCACGGAGGCAGGGACCGGGAACGAGGGGCTAGGGAATGGAGAGTCTAAGGAGCGGCGTCACATGGTGATGACCGTGGGTGCCCTGAGTGCGACCCCAACCTTTCCATGCTTTCTCGCAGTTGCACCGTTCCCTCCCTCTCTATCCGTGCCGCTGTGTGGTGCTGGTGTGACCTTCACAGCAGGTATGTCCCCATGCACCTGCGTAAGAGTGCAGTGCGCAAGAGTGTTGGAGGAGGGGGGAAGGAGGAGATGGGAAAGCCGGAAGAGGAGAAGAGGGTAAGCAGAGATGCATTGCTGCTGGATGCATGGAGGAACGGATGCATCACAGTACCACCACAGCATCTGTCTACATGCCCAGTGCTCAACCAGGCTCATACCCGAACCCTTGACTTCAAAAGGCAAACCCCACAATCCCTCCCCAACCCAGAACCAAGCTTTGCAATTTCCAGAGGATCAAACCGTACTCCCTCCCCCCCTCCCTTTTCCCTCAGTCCCCTCGCCTCCCCCGCACCTGCATCTCCTGCACCTCCTGCATGAGTGCGCATGCATTGCAGCAGCAGTGCGTGCAGCAGTCCCCCGCTCCCCCCAACGGGCCCTCAGGCAGGCTGTACCGCTGCCGCACTCGGCCACGCAGCACCGCAGAGAACACCTGCAGGAGGGGGACATGGGAATTGCAGGTTCTTTTTACCCGCTTCTTCAAGGCGGCTCAAGAAAAGTGGTAGGCACGTGAATAGCAAGAGGCTTGAGAACAATGGTAGGGTTGGGAAAAGCGGGAGGCGCGAGAGAATATGTGGGGGTGGGTGGTTGCGAGGGAAGTGGTGGGTTGTGGTGGGAAGGCAGTTGGCAGGAAAAAGCGGAGGAGAGGAGGGAAGAGACAAGGGAGGGAAGCAGAGCAGCTACTGTTGAGTCAAAGAGTAACTCCTGCAGCATCTGTTGAGGAAGAATAGCGTACATGGCAGGAGAGGAAGCACGAGAGCAGAGAGTACAGAAGGGATGGAAGCAAAGCAACTACTGTTGAGTCAAAGGAGTAAGCATCTGTTGAGGAAGAATGGCGTACATGGCAGGAGAGGAAGCACGAGAGGAGGGAGTAGAGCAGGGCGCCGGCAGCAGGGGTGGTGGAGGCGGGGTCGAGGGCGTGGGCGATGCGGCCGGCAGTGACGCAGGGGCAGAAGCAGGCTTCCATGCACAGGCAAGGGGACACGTGGCACGACGCTGTGAGGAGCGAGACGGTCCACGTGGATTGCTGGGAACGAAGGAGGAGGGGAGAATCGAGGGGGGGTTTGCAGAGGATGAGAAGAGGGAGATGAGAGAGGAAATCTGGTGGGGAAGAGGAGGTGGTTGAGGACTCTGCGATTGTTGAGATGAGATGCATGCAAGGGAAGGGGAGGAGGGTTACAATGCCGCACAGAGCAGATCACGAGCAGATCACGAGTGTAGAACTGAGAGCACAATGCTGCACGCACGCGGCACGCACAGCGGGCCAGTGTACCTTAATTGCTGCTTCCACCCTCAGAGAGCCCGGCCTGCTCGCAATACTCTCACTGTGCTTCCCCGTTTTCTTTCCACTTTTTCCTTTGCCTGCGCCACCAACGCCACTAGCAGCAGCACCACCAGCGCCAGCGGCAGCAGCAGAACCAGCAGCAGCAGCAGCAGCAGCAGCAGGAAGAGGCGGAGGAGCCCAAACAGCATTCCCCCCACCGCCACTCCCCGCACTCCCCTCATTCCCCTCCGCCTTCCGCCCCCACCCCCCCAGCGCCTGCCACTGCTCCCAGATCGTTCCCCCTCCCCCCGGGGCGTCCTCCCCGCAGGGGGAACTCCGAGTGCGCCTGAGCGGGGACGATTTCGGCTGCTGCCAAGGCACCGTGGAGAGCGGAATAGGTCTGCCTTCCCCTGACGGTACACGTGTCACCTTCCCGTGACTGCTCCCAGGCCACCCCGCGCTTCCGCCGCCGCTTCCGCCGCTCGCAGGGCTTTCCGCCACGCCCGGAGTCATCCCCGGAGAGATTCCCCGCTCCCCTCCCCCTTGCCACGGGGAGCCAACCTCCCCCCAATTCTCGTGGCGCATCCTCCCCTGCGTAGCGGGAGACGCGGCGTGCAGCGCGCGGTCGCCATCGGAGTGGCTTTTCGGGAGGTGCGTGAAACCCGGCGACACGGCGGGCATGTGCGTCGCGTACGGCCAATGAACGAGCGACGCCGGAAGAGACGGCGGAAGCCCCGACGGCTGCTCTACCCCGCCGCGCTTCTGCGCAAACGCTCCGCGAGCTCCGCCGGCATACGCGGCGGACTGCGCGAGCTCGCGCGGAGGGATGATGATGCTGGGCGGGGGCACGGGGAGCGGAGAGATGGGGGAAACCGGGCCCGAGGGGACGACCAGGGGGGGACTCTGGGGAGCAACATTGCTTGTAGTAATGGAAATAGTAGCCGCCGTATTAGTGGTGGCACCGGTTGTAGTAGTTTCGTGGAATTCCGTCGACTGCGCGTCCGAGTCGCTGTTCGTGCTGATCCGGCGATGTGATCGCTGCGACGGCAACGGTAACTTGTCGCGGCCTGAATCCATATTATTGTTGGCGCCGGCGATGATACGGCGATGATGCGGCGCAAGCAGAAGTCGGTGCGGTGATTTCAACGGTGTGTTCGCAGGTCTGGGAGTGTGCGTGTGTGGAGAAGGGGAAGGGAATTCGCGGTCCAGTGGCGAAGGCAGCGGTAGCAAAAGAGGCGGAGGCGGAGGCGGAAGCAGAGAGTGGAAGTTAGTGGGAGTTAGCTCGCGCGGTCTTCAGCGGTGTATACGCGCTAAGGATCTGCTTCGTTTTCCAGTAAAAAAAAATCGCCAGTACTGGCGCCGGTAGTACAACAGCAGCAGCAAGACACGACGATTCTCACCGATTGCTTGGCCTAGTTTTTATTCCTAAATAATCCATATCCTCGATACTACTACTATTACTAGCGGTACCAATGCTGGTGATTCGCCTCGCGCAGCCTCTCATACGCGGCAACGGGCGCCTACTCTTGACGACTAGCAGTGGTACCACTCGTACTACGAGAAAATCCGTGGGAGGTTTGTCGAAGCTATTCTCGCCAATGAGACGGCGGCAGTGGCGGCAGTGACGGCTATGGTGGCAGCCGCGGCGACAGCAGTGGGATCACTACTAGGGGGTGGCTACGTTGTGCGACTCGTACTACGTATCCAACTTATTGACTAAGACCGCGTACTTGTACCGTTAGTTAGTAATAAGAAGGCAGGCGCTGCTGGTAGACTGGAAAGATGATTGCTCTTCTTGTGAGCCGAATAGCGCGCGCGACCTGTGGTCGCGAATCAGGGAGTCAGGCGAATCAGGAAGTTTCAGGCTGGGCCGACCATGGGCAGTACGTACAATCGCAAGCATTAGTGGAAAGCGCATACAAACTTAGGTCAACGTTCACCGACGTTAGTGAAGACCATCTTTCTACTCGTGCAGCGGTGCTGGCTGCGTGGCTTGTCATGTGTTGCCTCTACAGAGACTCTCGCTTCCGTGCGGCTGGGCTCGACTGCCTCTCGTCAAGGCGGTGCGGGTACGAGTAGTGATTGCTGCTCTGCTCCATTTCTCGAAGTCGTTTTGGAATGAGGGGTTCATTCTGGTATCCGCAGAATTCTCCATTCGTCGGTGAAGTGAGTTGTGTGGGGGTGGGGAAAGGGGAGTCTGCTGTCTGATTCGGTTTAGCTTGCTTTGTAGTGGTGATAGTCGGTGAAATTCGGTTCAGTTGCAATCTTCAAGCAAATCAATCTATTTCGCGGTTTGTGTGACATTTTCAAAGTCGGCATCACGGCTCAGCCAGATTGTCGGCGGAAGGATACAGAGGGACGGAGAGGAGTTCAAAACATTTTAGGCGCAGAGCTTCCAGGTAGTCAGGCAGGCACCGCCAGATCCTCTTGGCAAGGCGAACAGAACAGAGTCACACACATCTCAGGTCAGAAGCCAGGTTCCCTACAGTGCATGCATGCAATCGACACCATCCCATGCTGACAGTCCTTCAATCCTCTGCGTACAGCTGGCACCGTAAAGTCGGTCATTTTGGAAAACCACCTGGAGAATCTGAAAAATTCGTCGCCGTTGACTACCTTCAACGTCGAGCATTCTTTCGCGACGTTTGACGACGCCATGTGTACGCACGTTACTGACGACGACGAGAGTGTAACGACTGACTGCTGCTGACAATGAAAAGCAACCGCGGGAGTCAATGGAATTCTATTCCATGTTACAGAATTCTGTACAGCCAATAAGAGAAGTCGTCGGTCCAATCAGGCTCGGGTCAGGTGCTGTTTCAGGTCACATGTGCCATGAGCCAGAAATCCAAGCGACATGTGTCAGAAAAGCTCGTTAAAATGAGTCCCAATAACAAACACAAGTAACAAGAAAATGGCATTGAGAAAATGCTAATATTGCTGTTACTCCACAGGTGTAATCTGTTACGTGTGCTAGAAACATAAAACATATATAAACTAGTTATCTTGTACACAAAAATGTTTGACACTGAAAAAAAAGCGCGAACATGCAGGAAAAATGATACAAACAATCTATAATTTCATTAATATGATATACATAATGTATAGTGCTATCCGTCGTCCAGTAGGTTCGCGAAACAATCTGTTCACATTTCTACTGTCGTAGTTGATGGTAACACTCGCTTTAGTTACAAAGCCCAAAAGCAATGAATCGTGCACCGGGAATGACGCTCTGCATGGTGTCGAGACGCGACACGAGAATCCACAGCTTTGTCGGAGCGAACTGGAGGTCTTGCTCCAGCAAGTTTATGATTGGCCCTTACAGGTTTGGCCTGCCGAGCCATTCTGAGCTATCCATCAGCGGAGCAAATGCGGTTTGGCCTGGAGGTGTTGTCAACAGGGGGCAACTCGGCTGAGGTTAGGGTGCGAGGCGGGGAAGCTCACCTGCGGTGCGGGATGCCCCTTCGGGTGCGAATCATCGGTCGAGATTATGGACACGGTTTGTGATGAGCCAATATCACCCGTTCAATTGTAGTGCACAAAGACAGCTGCATATGCGGCGCGCAACTTCAGAATTACGGGTTGCAATGCAAGCTGTGATGGGGGGAGAGAGACCATCCACCACTCGACAAATTTGCCCCTCCATTCGTCACACCACCCAACATTTTTAGCCCCCATTTCTCACTTCTTCATCATCAACCACCTCCCTGCTTAGCTCGTTCTCTCTGCTTGTAAGTTTTTGAGATTAATAGACACTAGCTGCCTGATTGAGTGCCTGGACGAAGTGAATGGCGAGATTTACGGCTACCGTTGCCACTTTTATCGTGCTCGGTGTGCTGTCAGCCAGTATTTCTCCCTGCGTGGAGGGCAAAAGGAACGCAGATGTGTTAGAGGAATGGAACGTTCAGGCAGCCGTCGCTATAAAGATCCCCAAGACACTTCCGAAAGCCGCAACTCTAGGGATTTTCAGCTTTGTCAAAGCCTTGTGTGAGTCCGGATCTCCGATGCCTCCTCTGTGCTGTATGTCCTTCCATCAAGGCATGATTCAGCTGGAGGTCGAAATTTTGAAGTTAATGTTCTGCTTTCCGTCGCCCAATTTCCCCTCCCAACGTTCTTGTTTCGTCTCGCAGATGTCGTTGCCATGCGCCTTTCTCTCCCACCTTGCCTCCCCACCAGTTCTCTCCCCTCTCTCCTCCTTTCCCTCACCCGTCTCCCCCATTTCCCCTCTCCTCACACCTCTACTTCCAGCTCTCTCTCTCACGCACACCAACCGATCAACCTGATCTCAGGCCTACCAGTTTTTCTGCCATGGGTATATCCCACGTTCGTCTATCCATACATCATTACCCTGCGCACCACCACCTCCTCGCGCCTTACACCACCCGCGCTCTCTCATCAGTATCCCGCCATTCCCCACACCCCTTCCCTGTCCATCCCCTCCACTGTATCC